TTATCATTTAATTACTTTCAGTGGCGAAATAAATATTTTGGCTGGAAACAATTACAAACTGTAATAAATTATAACAAATGCAATATTTTAATAGACTACCTATTAAGCATTTTTCCCCAGTTGCAATCGCAGTTTTTCTTTAATTGCATGATACGTTTAATGGTGTGTTTCACAGAACATGTGCTTTGTTCGAGCTGCAAATGCCATAAACTTTCATGTGTTTGAGGTTTGTTATGGTTACCAAAAAGGTGCACTCAGTATTTTTCCTCATTAAAAAGGTTTTATACATTAATTAGTAGTATTTTACATATAGTGAGTAGAATATATAAATATGAGTAGTAGGCCTATTTTTATGTAGGCCTCGCCTATATATAATAAGTTTGTGTATACACACGCAAAGATAAAGACCCCACCTATTTTAAAGTTGTTCTATTTTACAGCAGGTCTCTTTATGGGGACTGCCATGTTTAAGTCACATGACCAGCTGAATACTACTACTTTATCTTGGTATCCTGAAGTTACTGGACGCTGTTGCTTACAGAATTAATAATGGCTGACTGTGAAAAGAGCATGTTTTCAGTGGCTGAAAAAAAATGCTACATCCAGATGTCATGTGAATATTTAAGTGACATGAAAAACAAACAACAACAACAACAAAATGGATGGCCATCACTGAGAAATTAGACAGGATCTCTTCCATCTATTCTGTCTTACCTAGAATCATTCACACAGCCAGGAAAGTGAGCATCCCCATCTTTAAATGAGACCAAAGTCAACAGCAAACATTTATGGGGACTGCCATGTTTAAGTCACATGACCAGCTGAATACTACTACTTTATCTTGGTATCCTGAAGTTACTGGACGCTGTTGCTTACAGAATTAATAATGGCTGACTGTGAAAAGAGCATGTTTTCAGTGGCTGAAAAAAAATGCTACATCCAGATGTCATGTGAATATTTAAGTGACATGAAAAACAAACAACAACAACAACAACAAAATGGATGGCCATCACTGAGAAATTAGACAGGATCTCTTCCATCTATTCTGTCTTACCTAGAATCATTCACACAGCCAGGAAAGTGAGCATCCCCATCTTTAAATGAGACCAAAGTCAACAGCAAACTCTTCCCACTGTTCTGACATTCTGATAGCATCGGAGCAGGCACTAACAGAAACCCAGGGCTGGCCTCATGTTTTCCTCTTCCGTCACTCCTATCTTTACCATCTTTCATAAGCCTTGGGAGGACAGCAGTAAAACACAAGGGAAAACACTCTTCATCAGGTTTAGGATGTTTTCAGCTTCCGGTTTCATCACAGTTGTGGATCATTTTGATTAAATTTGGATCATTCATCAAAGAAAGAGACGAGGGGGAAAAAATGGAGGAAGGAAATGAAAGTCTATTTTTGTCTACATAGACTTGTCTGTCCATAGTCTATATTCGTTGCCTGCTTTCATTATCAGCTACAGTCTTGGTTTGTTTTCTTACTGGGCTGGCTTTGAAAAATCATCATTTCAAAATGTACATATTACATTTGGTGTCACAAACTCTTTGTGATATATTTAAGCAATAAGGTACAAAATAGCCTATTGTAAACATGTTCACAGCTAAAGGGTGTTATGCTTAACATTCAGCATTGAGGACAGGAACTATACATTTTATAATAGTTATGTTATCATGTTCTTAAAAAAATTAAGTCATTTGTGTTACAAAAAGTTTTGTTAATTCATCTTTCTAAACATATTCTACACCAAAAACGTTTTGATATCACTGAAGAAATGGCGCCCTCTAGCGCTGTAATGTTATTAGACACTACCTTTGCGTTTCAGTGGACAATACGCGGTGGAAATTACACCGTTCCAGAAAAGGTTAACAGCCCTTGAAAGGACATTCATCATTAGCAAATGTCAAGTCTATTTTGCTATTACTAAAGGTAAAAGACAAGGCAAGGCTGACTGGAAATGGAAGAGGGTGTTTGTGTAACATTTAGACTACAGGAGGCGCCAGTGGACAACAAATACAACTCTGCACAGCTTTCTACTTCAGACATCTTTAGTCACGATATGAATCTGCTTCCTGTCAGAAAATGCCCTAGCAAAAATAGGCTACCGTCCAAAAGTTTTGGCTAAATCCCCCCAACATCAACATATTAGAATAATTTTTCAAGGATAATGTGACATTGAAGTCTGTATTGCTACTGAAAATTCAGCTTTGCCGTCACAAGAATAAATTAGATTTCAAAACAAATTTGAATAGAAACGCAATAATAAACGATATTACTGTTTTACTGTACTAACCGTAAAAGACTTCTTTTGAACATTTTTAAAAACATGACCTTATCTTTTAATATTTATTAGTTTAGGGAAATTTTTTTTATCTTATTTTCTGATTTTGAATGTAATTCTACAGATCAATTACATCAAAATGCAGAAATTCATATCTGCTCATGTTCAGCACACCTTTGAATTGCCTTAATGAAGGCATAAAAAAAATCACCATACACACACACACTCATACACTAGAGAGGACATGTAAAATTTCCTAACATAATTATATTTCATTATATAAGAGAGGCCCTCACAAGTACGTTTCACTGTAATTACATTTCAGAAGAATCATTAGCTTTATTTAAAATAGTGAGGTTTGTATTACATCTTTTAAGTTAGTTTATAATTACATCCAAGACCAGTGTCAAAGAGTGTCATTCATATATATTATTAATTCATTATGGGTTAGTGCTAGCTTCTGTGTTCACAATCTTGAGGATTATTGAAGCTATGCACATCAATATGAAAAGCACAAGGTTTAGATGAATGAACATCTGCTGAGGTTTTGAGCTCGTCACATCATGGCTGTCCAAGACTGCAGGAGCAAGTGATCTTATATATATATATATATATATTTGCAGTTAATCAAGGTGAAATCTTGTCTTTGTGTCCTGAAATCAGCAATGCAGAACAAACCAAATAAAACCACTGAAGTATGTGCACATGCATGTGTGGATATTTTAGAGGCTAGTGGAAACAATAAGGTGATGTAAAAGCAGATTGAAATGCAATGTTTTACTCATTTTCATTTTTGTAAGTGATGGGATGAGACGCATACATCAGCCAAGCAAAAAGACACCTACACACAAATTAGTGTTAAGTTTGTTTTCTAAAAAAACACTGCAAAGAAACTCTTGAGTGCAACATTCCAAATAGGTGAAAGTGAGATTTATTGAACCTGAAACTTTGTCCATATTTGCTTTTTGTCTTACAAAGAACAAAATGTCCAGCATATAAAGTCACACAATATTTCTTCTTAATAATGGAAAGGTCTCAGGTTATACAACAGTTAGGTGTGAAGCTAAATGATAAACTATTCAATCAACAACTTAATATTATAAACAAATGGTGGCTACTAACATTGGTTAGATCATATTAAATATTTCAAAGTGGAGCGGTTAAGACTTCAACATTTGAACAGTTGAATGGCTCTACAGCAGAATGCAGATACAACCTGTTAAGCTCCAGTTTCGATCAGGCAATGAGCGCTTGTGGAAGAAAGAACAGCCATCAGCTGGCAGAAAATAATTAATTGCTCTTGTTCATACTGAGGTATCCTGTTTTTGGGAGGAATAAATGCCCCCTGCCCACCCCCAA